CTTGAATTCGATATATGATTAAATATATCTAGAAGGATTTGTAAAGGGGGTAAGGAACCTATTCTGGATACAGTACCAGAATTCTGTCCCAGAACCCTTCTTTATGCACTACTTATATACGCACATCCTTTTTTTATATAAAAGTTGAACCTGGTCAAAATCGTGAACACGAGGATAAATCAAGACAATGTGGCATTTGTCATAAAAAAGGTCATAATGCACGAACTTGTGCAAATCGAAATCCCTAATATTATTTCAACATTGAATTATCTTATATTGTATTAAATATTAAAGCCTTGCAAGATAATAAATCAATTAATAAATCTCATGTAACTAATAAATAAAATCATGTGACTATAATATGGTGTTTAGCACCAGTGGTGTGATTTAACAATGCCGGAATCTAATAATGAAGATAGTATCAAATTTAATAATGAAGATAGTATCGAATCTAATAATGAAGATAGTATCGAATCTAATAATGAAGATAGTATTAAATCTAATGATGAAGATAGTATCAAACCTGAACATAATAATGAATATAGTGTTGATTCTAGTAAGAAAAAGAAATATCAAATTTAATAATAAATATCTGTAAAACTGCAAATATTTATGTAATATTTATACTTTTTTATTAGCAATTATAATGCTTGGACAGATTTATTCTACAAAGAAAGATATTCTTAATTTTGCTCAAGAAATAGCCTGAAATACTGGGTTTGCAATAACTATTCAAAGTAGTGGACCTTGGCACTTACATCTTCAGTGTAAATATGGTAATCAACCCTGAAATACCTCAAATATAACAGTAGATAAACATCAAAGAAAGAGAATGAGCAAGTGTCATGATTGTCCATATATTTTAAAGGCTGTTCCAAGAAATTTCAATTGGTAGGTTTTAAAGTAATTAATAAACACAATCATCTTATAGTCAAAGATGTAAGAGTTTTTTATAAACACTGTCAGCTAATACAAGAAGCCAAACATACTGCTGTACAAATAATAAATACCGAAGCAAAGCCTAATATTATTTATGAGGCAGTTAGAGATGTAAATAGAACACCAACTGCAACAAGAAAAGATATAATTAATTTAAGTGCTTGAATTCATTCTTTAGAAAAGACAGCCTCACTAAAAATGCTTATAGTAAATATGGAAGAAAAAGGATATACTGTTCATTATGAAAATTATGATAGAAAGTATTTTTATTTGTTTTTTATGTATTACAACTTACTTTTGTTATACTAATAAAATAAAATAATATTATGTAGTTTTTTAATACAGATGGGCGTATTAAATATTTGTTTTTTTGTTATGCTAATTCAATTTACAAAGCAAGACATTTTTCAGAAATTATTTTAGCTGATGTGACATATAAAACAAATATTTATAAATTACTATTTGTAAATTTTATTGGTATTAGCAATCTTGGAGTTAATCATTTGCAAACTTTTGGTATTGCTGAAGCTTGGATTTCAAATGAATCTGAGAAATCTTATATTTTGATTTTTGAACAGTTCGCTTCTATTATTTTTTTGATACTTTTTCTTCTGTAATTGTTACAGATAATGATGCTATACTTGGTAATGCACTTACAAAGATTTTTCCAAATCCAAACATCTTCTATATGTTTGGCATATTATAAGAAATTTTAGAAAGAATTTAAGCAAACACTTTACTAAAAATTCTCTTGAAGAGATTATAAAGGTTGTAAATCTTCTTATTAACTCAAAAGACTGTGAAGCATTAAATTTGGCAATTGTTTCATATAAAAAACTAGCTTCATTAAGCAAAAATGCAAATGATATGATAAAATATTTTAATAAGTACATATTAAAATTAAATTGGTTCAAACTTTATATCAACATGTTTTAAGTAATTATTATCTAATTTATTAATTCATTTTTTAAAGTATGATGAAAGTTAAAGAAAAATAGATTGGCATTTATACAAGCAGGATAATGCATTTAGGTGCAACAACTACACAAAGTGCTAAAAACACACATTCAGCTATGAAACATGCTATTGAAACTTCAGGAAGTTTGGCAAAATCTTTTAACTTTATAGACAAATAGATATGCTTGTGTTATGAAGATAGTTTGCTACAATGTAAGAATGAGAGTATTAATATTGATCCTTTACTTACACAAGATGATAAAAATCGATTAAAACCACTTTTATCTCAATTTGTTTTAAATAAAATCAAAAATGAACTTTCTAATGTAACTGAATATGAAGCTTGTCTATGTGAATTACAAGTCAATTTTAATTTACCTTACTGCCATATACTTCCAGCAAAAGGCCCTGTTACATTATCATTTATTTCAAAAAGATGGATACTATTTTCTAATCAGAATCAAAAAAATTCTGCTAATTTAACACAAAATTTATTAATTGACTCTGGGAACTTTACTTTGCTTAAATCCCAACTATACAAAATTGAAGCACAGTATATGGAATATTCAAATGAATAGCAAAAGTCAAATCTTTTAAAAAGACTTGACAATATTTTGACAAGTTTAGAACTTAACTCTCTTAAAATAAAGATTTCTAAGAAAATTGTGAAAAGGGACGTCCTTTGGAACAAAACGATTAGTTGCTTTAGAACTTACAGAACAAGCAAAAAAAAGAAAAAAGTTGATATAAGCACTAATTGTATGCCAACTGTTCAAATATTTAATAATATAGGTAGTATAAATATAGCTAAAGATTTAAATATTTTATTAAATTCTCGAATTTCTATTGATAATGTATATCAAATTTATGATCCAGAAAGTGATGATAATTGTGGGTTTTGAGCATTATTAGAGGAAACGAAAAAAATTTGGGATCCTGTTAAGTTGGCTATGAGTAACCAACTTAAGAAACGTGCAGAGGTTTATAAAAACTGGCTAGGTTATAATACTAATTTGCTTTAACAAATATTAGATTCTAGGCTTCAACTATGTAAATCTTCACTATATAAATCTTCACATTGGTTTTTGTTACCCGATTGTGCTCAATTGGCTGCAGACACATTCACTATTCCTATTGCTATTTTTAGTGAAACAGGTGAACAAAGTATGATGTTCTTTCTATTAGAATCACCACCAATGCATAGAAGGAATCTGATTATTTTGCATTTTGTAAATAGTATTCATATTGTATATATTAATATGAAAAACTATGCAAAAGTGAATTGGCCAACAGTTAATGTATAGCACATACCTATATGTAAAAAACATGGTCTTGAAGATTATTGGTCTAAACTTTTTGTATAGTTTTGTTTTATTAAATATTGCTTATACATATAAACAGCTTATCTGCAAAAATATAATAAATGCTATCTAAGTATTTTCTTGCAATTTTTTTTTTTTTTGAATTATACCTTGTGATTCTAGTTTACTAGCAAAACAACAAATTATAGTTCGCTAAAATATATTCTTTAAAATATTGATATTTTCTTTAAAATTAGCATGTATATATAATGATTTTGGGTCAAAATCCTGAACAACAGATTATAGAAAGAATATGACAGCGATTAAATTGGCCAGCATTATAGCTAGTGCCAGCTAACTTAGTCAGTATCATGTTCTTTTGAGAATCTGTTTTTCAGGATTTTGTATATAACAGTATATAATATAAACACTAATATTTTTTCATGTGTGTTATATAAAGTAAATATGATTTGATTGGTTTAAAAAAATGGGGTTGATTATTGCTGTGTCGATAAGAAAGATAAGTCACGTGGATGCTTTGTTGGTAGACTGTCCCTTATTAACGGGGTGCTACTAATCAATGTTTGCTATTGCTTTTTAATGACCATGTGACTAGAGTTGCAGGTGAAACAAATCTTCAATGGTGCACCAATTACTACCAATCACCAATCACAAATTAGCATTGGTGAAACTGGTGAAACTGTATTGGTGAAACTGGTGGTGTTGGTGAAACTGGTGATGATGGTGAAACTGGTGGTATTGGTGAAACTGGCGGCATTGGTAAAACTTGTGATTAGTGTTCCGAGGTTTGTGTTTAGGTCAACCCAGGTTCAGAACTTGAACCCAAATCTAAAAGTTGCCATGACTATTGATTCAATTCGGGTTTAGCTCAATATTCATGAACAAGTTCAGGTTCAGGCCTATATAATACTTCCTCCCCCGATACTTCCCTTTCCCACCATTTTACCCTTCACTAACATTTACTTTCCTGACATTTAATTTTCCCCAACAATTACTATTCTCCGATACTTGCTTTTTCCAAACATTACTTTTCCCCGATATATACCCTCCCTATCATTTACTCTTTGACATTTTCTGTACCATGCCCTTTCTTTTTCTGCTGCTTCTTTCCCAATATTTTCTCTCCAACATTTCTCTCCCCTAACATCTCCTCCTCCTTGCCATTTTCTTTTCCTGCAATAAATTGCACCAACATATTAATTATTATGTATTATTATTATAGACTCCATTCAATCATTTATTACATAAAAGCTACCTCTAAACAAATATTCAAACTTGTCCGTTATTATTAGAACTAGTAATGGCATGCGCACGAATTTTGAGAATCATACAAATGATTTTTGTAGGTATATTTTAATGGGCCATGTACTATACGTATAACTAGACAAATCCTTTTTAATTAAAATATTAGATAATTATATCTAATCCTTGTTAAAAAAACCTGTTATCATGTAAAAAAAAAAATAAGATACAGTTTGCATTCTTAATTTATTTCGAATTACTGATTTATTTTAATGTCAAAGATATGGGTTTTATGGCTATGGGAGCAAATCCAAAGCATAATATCAGATACCTGATAGTTAATATTTGTGCCAAAGATCAGATTTTTGGCACAAATAGTTAGCAATAGTTAGCTATTGGCCAGAAATTTACCAGCAATTGCGAAAAATAACCATTTTAATTTGGGTTCTTATTTTATTTATTTTAGTTGGTGATAAAAATAGTGGGTGTATTTAAAATAGGCCATTTCTTTATATTTAAATTATATTAGTCTGTAAGTTAGTCTAAAATATAACAAAAATATTTTAATATTTTATCTCCGTAAGATTATAAATTATCTGTAATTTTCATTAAGTCAATTATTTAGGTTTAATTTAACTGGAAAGTATAAAGTATTTTGTTTAATCAAACATTCGAAAACAATATATGTACTTCTTATTAGTTTTATTAGTTTATTATCTATGCTGATTTGGTCGATAAATAATTGTTCAAGTCGATCCAGTTAACATTATTTATTAATCGAATAATTGATATAATCTATCCGAGCCGATTTATGATTATTATAACTTATATAACATATAGTTCAAAAATTTATATACAAAATATTGATAATAAATTTTAGTCTTATCTGAAATTTATCTAAACCCAATAAGATCACAAAAAATTATGCTATAAATGTTTGTTACGTACGATATTTTATGCTAACTGTATTAGGACTGATAGTTTTTTGGTCTGTCCTACATAAGTGTTTAGAATAAATAACCCACAAATATTTATTATTTTACTCATGTCAACTTTTCAACCTAGATGAATAAAAGTCTAAGTGACGTGACATTAAGCTTTATAAACTCACTGGCGATTAATTTAAAACTATATCTATGTAAGACAGAAAAAATTCGGCTATCAATTTTTCTGAAGCAATGCTATATATAAATTGTCCAACTCGAACTCTAGAAGAAGTTCATTAACTTTCGAACTGAACTTGAACCTGAATTGAACACCTGTTAAATGTTCAGTATCAAACTTGAACATGAACTATTTTGTTTATAGTTTGGTTCAGGTTCAGTTCAAAAGTTAAACTGAACCTGAACTTACTCTAAGTTCGATTTTGTTCAGGTTCATAGGAATGCTACTGATAATATTTGTGAAGCTGCGATATTAGCAAAACTGGTAATATTACTAATTGCCACAATATCACCAGTTTCACCAATATCACCAGTTTCACCAATGTCACCAGTTTCACCAATACCACCAGTTTCACCAACACCACCAGTTTCACCAACACCACCAGTTTCACCAATATCACCAATAACACCGTTTCACCAGCTTCACCAGTTTCACTAATTTGCTATTATGGTACACCGATGGTGCACCAGCTTCACCAGTTTCACCAGGTGAAATTAATTAGTTTTACCTGCAACTCTACATGTGACCTTATGACTTGTCATGGATCATTTGGCATAACAAAGTTTGATACGTGCATCTTTGTGAACTTTCAATATGTAAGATTCATAGTGAAAAAAGAAAAACTTATTTGCATTTAGTATACCAATATGATCTATAGCGGAAAGTCATATGAAATCAAAAAATAGATCATCGCCCAACACAATTACTAATAGAAGCATGATGGAAATTTGGTTTAATTGGCCAAAAAAAATGATTGACATTTTATAAATAACAAAATTTGATTGGTTAAAACTAAAGATTAACCTCACATTATCTACTTTTTTGTAAAACCGATTGACCGATTGATAATACGTATCTAACATTTTATAACTTGCTCACGTGAAGTTAGAAACTTTTAATCGAGAAAACTGTAGATTTTTATTAGCTGTTTCGGTTTAAAATGCCAAAAATTTAATGTAATTTCTTTGTGTTACATACTGGTATTGTCAGAATCGCTTCTAGTAAAAGTTGGTGGAAAACTTGATCCCACTTGATCCCAAACGTTTATATAAAAGCTATACTTCTAAAAAGCAGTCTGGTAAAATTTCAGGTAAGCTTAATTATAATAAAGTTTAACTTGTTCTAATTCGAATTAAATTTTCTATTGTAAATCAATATAAAAAGTTCGTGTAACAGTACTTTTCAATAGAAAATAAACAACCAATAAAAACCAACTTCTATCATGCTCCAGTGGTGATTATCACCACCTTTAGAATTAGAGTGCTGTTTTAGACTAAGATTAGCATAGATATAAAGGTTCACATTTTATTAGCGTTAGGTTTTTCGAGGTTCTGAACATTTTTGTTTATAATTCCCGAATTTAGTTGCTTAGTACGTTTTTAAGATATAGTATCCTGGTGACAGAGACCCGTAGAAATCTTTATTTGCATTATTGCAAAAATTTGGTTTAATTTGCAATAATAAATTAACTTTATATTAATTTGCAATTTTTTAATTTCCTTTTTGGAAATTTACACAAATTTTGCTCGTCTTTCATGTTCATTCATTTTTTCTTTCGGAAATTTTCGAAATCTTAATTCTGCATACTATCCGACATTATTAGCCAATCGAATTTCTAGAATATCACGTGAATTTACCCTCAGAAATTTGGTTTAATTTGTATTATCAATCTAAATTTGCATTAATTTGCATTAATTTATATACAAATTTTTACGGGTCCCTGCCTGGTGATAGTTATTAATAATTAATAATAACTGTTGCGGCTGATGCTGAAATTCAGGGCCTCTATAAATCTATAATACCTACTATAAAATTCACATATACTTTTTTTACTAACACTAACCCTAAACCCTAACTTAACCCTAGAAAAAAAACCTAACAAAAGGCCTCAAAAAATTTTAAAATCTCATAATAAAATATGTCAAAATTTCAGCATCAGCCGCGACAATAATTATTAACTATTTGGTAGAGTTATCAACTAATAAATCAAAAACTATCTAAAAAATGTTATTTAATTTATACATAAAAATATATTATCTACGTCACTAGTCCAAATTAAAAAATTAGTATCAGTTCACTCTAGTTGAAATTATATTAATGGGCTGCTGAATGTGCTGAATGTATACTGGTAATTGTCGGCATTCTGCAAGTATTCTACAAGCATTCTGCAAGCTCTGCCATTATTCGGCTAGTTGGCTGGCCGAATATTGGCCGAATACTGACAGAATGCCGATAAAAACCAGTATACATTCAGCACATTCGGCAGCCCATTAATATAATTTCAACTAGTGTGAACTGATACTAATTTTTTCATTTGGACTAGTGCATGTTGGAATAGTTTCTCAAAAATATCTACATTTTGGAATAATTCTTCGTTATTTATGAATATATTTGTTATTTTTTCAGAAATTCTGACTTTTTAAAATTTGATTTCATTACAATTTTTTGCAATAGAAATTTTTAACAATGATAGAAATTATTAAAGATTAATAATATCGATAACTAATTATTAAATTTTTTTTATTATTAACTAAAAACTCGAAGATCCCATCATTAGTTATAATTAATCAAATTTAATAAAAGAGCTGTTACTGGGTCAGGTTGACCCGTATGGGTCAGCATCTTGACGGGTCACGGGTCAAAAATTGCCTTGATCCGGTTCAAACGGGTCAATTAAATAAACGAATAAATTCTTGAATTGGTTTTTTCCAATGTAGAAAATGAAAGAATTCAAATTATGAGAAATTTTTTGATACAAATCCAAGATATTCCAATTTAAATATTTATACAGTGTATATCTCAAGACAACCTCAAGCACATTGTTAACGGCAAAATCGTCAAAATCCTCTGCACGCCACGAGGCTCAAAAACGTGACAAAGACCCGAATCGAAGCCCCAGTAAATCGGGGCTGAATCATAGCTGAGTTGTGACTAAATCATGGCAAAAGTGTTGCTGAGAAGCCACAAGCCACCGAGAAAAGAAGAATCCGATTTAGGTTTGGGGCAGTGCCAGAAGCTTCGCTGGAGTAGGCAAAACTATGGTTGCCGCAAAGATGGCGTAGAGTGACTTGTTGGGCTTAGCTTAGAGAAAGAATTTAATTTTGTTTTCCCTGTTCCCCATGTAAATTGTTATAAATATGGGCTCTTTTCGCCCTCTAATATAAGAATAAGTAAGTGCCCTTGAATAAAATAAAGTCGTTCGCTTGACCCACAATATACCCGATTTAGCCTTACCTTGTTAGGGTGAGGGTTATAGTATAATTTATAGTTAGGTTAGGGTTAGGGCTAGAGTTTTTTTATATTATAATCTTATAATATTTCTATATTGGCCACCTAGCCAAATCATACCGCCTCTACCCATTGGATATATTACTGGGTTGGTTGTGTTGTTTTGGTGGTGATTGGGTAGTCCGTGTTCCCGCCCAGATATCCTCCAACATATACCGATATACTACAACATAATTGAAATTATCAATCTTGACTTATGTGATTATTGACCGAGTAACAGTTCTAGCCTGAATGCAGCGATATGTAGTTTACCTATATGTTGCAATTACAGTAAATTTATTTTGGGTATTTTCGTAAGTTCCTAATTAACTTATTGTAAAATCAAATCAAAATTGTAATATCCGTTGCTCTCTATGTATTCACATTATTAAATAAAAAATACTTTTGTTTAACATGATTATTAGTTGATTACATAATTTTTAATCAATTTCTAAAGAAGTTATAGTTATCAATTTCAAATCTACATTTAACAATTATAAAAATGAAAAATATATATATTTTTTATTAAGGCAAAACAGATCACGTAACATAACAATGATCTTAATATTATATGAATCGTCTCATTAAGATTATTCAAATGATATTAAAATTATGGGTATTAAATTGCCTGATTTAAGTTATTTTTATTAAAAATATTCAAAAAAGTACGACTTGTAGGTTCTCCCTTGGCAGCACTCATATCTATGTCTGAATAATTTGTTAAGTGCAAATTCACGTGAATGGTAAGTGTTCGGAGACTCTCCCATAGTTTTAGCTAATGGTCAAAACTAGGTTAAAACTAGGGTGAGTGACACAGGGTTCTTGGGTATGCCCTTTTATTTAATATTTAAAAAAACATATATTAAGTGAGGACACCTTCTGATTGTTAATATTATAATATTAACTGCTTCTACAAAAAATAATATTGATATATGTATATTTATAGGGCATGAAGAGGCATGCCTCTAGTCCAAGGCATACCCAAAAAATTTTCTGTGCCTTTCACCCTAGTTAAAACCAATTTGATGCTAATTTGGGACGTCCCAAAGTAGTTTGGACGGCAACTATAGTCGACAATATTCTGTTGAAATTTCAGCTTGAAATAACGAATCTTCTCAATTAATCAAGACAATATAATTGAAATTATGAAATTATCACTCTACTACCCGATACATATTCGATCTTATAAAGAAATTTTTGAGGTCGATCAGTATAATGTTGAAGGATTGGAATCGGTTTAGTCGACTAAAAAATTTTTATAGTAAGCTACTATGTTAGTCAACTAATTAGTCGACTAAACATAGTAGTCGACTAAACCGATTCCAATCCTAGTTGAAGGTCAAAGGGTACTTCAACCTGGAATCTTTATTTTAAATGTGTATTGAAAAAAATTAGCAAGGATACTTTGCAAGAACACCACGCTGATTTTCTTGAGTCTTTGTGAGAATAGTACATGAGCCTTTCAAGAACACCTACCCTGATTTTGATTTGCTGGATCAGAAGAAAGAAAAGCATTAGCTATCTTGCAAAAAACAACGCTGAATCTTCGATATAATAACCTTGAATTTATGGAGGAAAAATGCATTTCGCAAGAACACTACGCTAATTTCTTTGTAATTTCATTATAATCAACTTAGATAAAAAGGAATGCATTAAAGAAGAACTTTGCAAGAATACTACGTTGACCTTTTTTGAATTTTTTTTATAATTAACCTTGATCAGAAGAGAAAAAAAGCATTAGCAGATGCACTTGGCAAGAACACCACGCTAACTCCTTTTGATCCCATTTATAATGGGTTCGAATAAGAAGGAGCAAATGCCACTCTACAAGAACATCACACTATTCTTCAAATCTTTCTTGGAATAATGAAATTTGACCAAAGCATTAGTAGATGCATTTTTTAAGAACCCCACACTAACTTCTTGGATATTTATCATAATAGTATTGG